TGGGGTGACAGGGTCAGGGTTCAAACAGATCTCAGCAGGCTGGTATTCTGGGCCAAAACCAACAAGAGGAAATTCAGTAGCGATTAATGTTAAGTCTTGCCTAAGTTAAGATGGGAGAGAGCTGGCTCTCCTGTCATTGTTTGGAAAAAAAAAAAAGACATTATTTTGAAGAACAATAGCTAGCTTATACTTATTGAGACATTCTGGCTTCCTTGGTGGTTCAGACAGTAAAGAATCTGTCTGCAGTGTGGGAGACCCAAGTTTGATCCCTGGGTCCGGAAGATCCCCTGGAAAAGGGAATGGCTACCCACTCCACTTTTATTGCCTGGAGAATCCTATGGACAGAGGAACCTGGTGGGCTACAGTCCTTGGGGTCACAAAGAATAGGACACAACTGAGTGACATTGGGTGAGACAGAGATTGAGACAGTCACTTATTACCTTTACTGAGATGCTGTGTGATACAGTCTATATAGATGGTATTTTATTTAAATACTGTTGGAGTAAATTTATCTCTATTTTTCGATGAGTTTTAGAAAGGCTAAGAAGGCTATGACTTTTAACCAGAGTCATACAACTTTTAACCATTATGCAATACTGCCTCCATAATGAGATCCAATAAATGATGTGACTGGAAAAGGTAGGAAGAAAGGGGAAAGAAAGGAAGGGAGGGAAGGAGGAAGGAAGGGAGAAAGGGAAAGGGAGGGAATAAAGGGAGATAGAAACTTAGATTTCATCAAAAGAAACCTGGATAATAGGGACACTGTGTGGTCGGTATTGTTCTTAGATAGCAATGTTATATTCTGGATGCTACATTTTAAAATAAAAAATGTGGAGGCTGCAGAGTATGCAGAGAGGAAACATTCCTGAGACAGCTGGGACAACTGAGGGTACCAGCTGGTTTGAGAAATCTCAAGAAGAGTTTTTCTGTAGCAGAGGATGGAGACTCACCATCCACTGCTCTGGAAGGTTAAAAGTTCCAGAGAAGCAAGTTCTCTTTCACTATAAGGAAGAATACACACAAATATAAATGCTCAGAAATGACCCTGTGGCACTTTGTTCAGCTCCAAAAGAGGTTTTGTTTTTCTAAATGTTTGTGTTATCATTATTATCATCATGCTGTTGGCATCAAATGGAAGAGATGAAAAGTGGGTATAAAACGGGGATGTCATTGCTATTCTTGGGAAAAGAAGATAGATGAGATGGGCAGGAAGATTGGCTGGTAGGAAATAACAGTGGCATTTCAAAGCAAAATCTAACTGTCTTCATGGCCAGAGAGAGGAGAAAAACTTGAGGACCCCTTTGAGATGTCATTTTCTGTTTTCTTAGGGGAAAAATAATGTCTTATTGATTCAATCAGAGAAACCAAAGACCTGCCTTTATAACTTGCCTATTTTAGTTATTTTAGAATCAAGAAACTTTTTTTTGGTAAGTATAGGTGGAGAAGTTATGGAAAGAAACTCTAAACTGAACAGATGGGACAGTGGGAATAAAAACAAATTAAAACAATATTGCAATGAACTCTGGACTTTCACTTTAAAATATATATGATGATGTTTTTCAACTTTTCACATTCAACCTATCAGTATATCAAGTGACAAAATGAAAAATCAATTTCAGCTGTGTATATTTTAAATGTTTACCTAAAATGATTTGAACTCACCACCTAAAAGCCCAGATGAATGTATTAAACTGCTTGTTGTATTTTTTAATGAATTAAAACTTTATTTTATATTACATTATAGACAGGACACAGTTCTGTGTGGTGACATTTGGTGTAGAAAATTGAAATGAACAGTGGTCTAATTAGAACAGTAAATAATATGGGTTTAATTAGCCCTTATCCCTGATGACAGACTTGATCAGTTGCCAGATATTTATTCTTTCCTTTCACTTGACTTTTGCTGAAATATTGCCTCTAGTAGGGCTGCTTACTGTGCTATAAATAGGTGACTTGGTAAGAAGCCAGGAAACCGACTGACGGGTGAGACGTGGGTAGAAATTATTGGAAAACCTCCTCCTTGCTAGGAGTCATTATTTCTTCATTTCACATTTGAAGGTCCTTTCTGCAGATCCCACTCTTAATTTTTTATTTATTTTTTTGGTTGGATGAGGTAACTTGGCCTAAAGGCTTAAGGAAATCTGTGTAATATCTAGTGGAGTCTCTTGCTACAGTTTATTAGATGTCAGGGCTTCCTGCATAAACTCTCCTGGTCTCTAACATAGGACTCACTTTTGAAGTCCTGTCCGACTTGAGCTTTTCTGTATGTCAACAGGATGTGGTTTTGTTTGTTTGCTTGCTTGTTTTCGATTAAAATATTAAAGTGTTGGCTTTACAAAAGAACTTTACAAAATGCAGAGACACAAATAGAAAAGAAGTAAAATTGCTCATCATCCTTCCACCTAGAGGTAGCAGCTGCTAACATTTTAATTAATCTCTGACTCTTTTCTCTGGACACCCCTCCCATAAAAGGTCTGACGCAAGCATGACAAAACATTCAATTTGATGAAGCCAGGTGGTACTAGAATGGGTGTTTGTTTTCTCCGAACTGCTATGGACGTTCAGTGATTGCCTTTTAACCCCCAAATTTTTAAAGAGAAATGTCAAATCCACCCATTCTAGTACCACCTGGCTTCATCAAATTGAATGTTTTGTCATGTTTGTGTCAGATCTTTTATGGGGGGTGGGAGGAGAATAAAACATTCGTTTGGCACTCCTTTTGTGTGTTTCCCCAACAGCCTTCACGCCTCATCTTGTTCTCTCCATCCTCAGAGGCATCTTGGTGGTTTTCTTCCAGCCCATATGCTTGTGCTTTTATTGCTGCATTTTCATGTGGATATTCACATTTGTTGGTGTTGTTTAGTCACTAAGTCATGTCTGACTCTTTGCAACTGCATGGACTGTAGCCTGCCAGGCTCTGTCTATGGGATCTGCCAGGCCAGACTATTGGAATGAATTGCCATTTCCTACTCCAGGGGATATTTCTAAGCCAGGGATCGAACCTGCGTCTCTTACATCTCCTGGATTCGGAGGCAAATTCTTTACCTCTGAGCCACCTAGGATGCCTGGATATTCACATACTTATCTCTTTATCTATAGGTGAGATAGAAAATGCTATGTGTGTTTCCATTTTCATGTAATTAAATCTGTTAGTCTTTTCCTTTAGGATTTCTACCTTGGTTGATATATCTAGGACAATCTTTGTTACATCAAGTCTGTGTGACTTTTAGTCTATAACTTTTTTACAGTTTTTTTTTTTTACTATTTTACAGTTTCCACATTTAAAATATTGATTTCTGGAATATATCTGAATTAATTTTGGTGTATCTTGTGAAGAAGTTATCTATGGTTTTCTTTTAAACCATTCATCACACTGGCTTGTGGTTCTATACTATGTCCTTATACTTGGGTCTGTTTCTGGGCTTCTTAAGAAAACGTAATAGATATGAATGCTTATTGCTATGGCAGTTCTATACTCTTTTAATTGAGGCAATTTCCTTCTAGTTTCCCATCTTTTACAGTTTTTTCTTGGCTCTTGTAGACATTTACTCCACTGGTTCAACTTTAGAATCATTTGTTAAGGTCCAGAAAACCCCCTTTTGGGATTTTGACTGGAGTTGTTATAAATTTATAGATGAATTTGGAGAGAATTAACGTTTTGCAGTACTGAGTTTAGCTATTTAGGACTATGGTACGTTTCTCCATTTCTTTGAGTCTGCTTTAGTCCTCTGTAAAGTTTTGTAATTTTATTTAAGTAATACACATCATTTCTTTTCATTTCTATGTGTATGTGTGCTCAGTCACTCAGTGTATCTGATTCTTTGCAACCCCATGTGCTGTAACCCACCTGGTGCTCGTGTCCATGGGATTTCACAGGCAAGAATACTGGAGTGGGTTGCTGTTTCCTTCTCCAGGGTAACTTCCTGACCAAGGGATTGAACCCATGTCTCTTACATTTCCTGCACTGGCAGATGGATTGTTTACCATTGAGCCTATATTCATCTATATATTTAAAAATTTTTAAACTCTCCCAGTTCTCTTTTCTCTAACGTATCTTGATATAAGGGCTTCCCTGGTGGTTCAGATAGTAAAGAATCTGCCTGAAATGCAGGAGACCTGGGTTTGATCCCTGGGTCAGAGAGATCCCCTAGAGGAGGAAATGGCAACTCATTCCAGTATTGCCTGGAGAATCCCATGGACAGAGGAGCCTGGTGGGCTACAGTCCATGGGGTTGTAAAGAGTCAGACATGACTGAGCAACTAACACACATACATACATACACACACACTATATTGATATAAATCAATGGTAGCAAGTCCAGAAAACAAATTAAACTGACTGTATTCATAATTGAACTTTCTCTATTTTCTTGGACCCTGAAGCTTCATCTTTTGTCTTCTTGGGGTGGAACCTCTCTCAGGAGGTGAGAATGCCTTAGGTACAAGCTAGGACCCTGCTATGAAGTTATAAAACAAATTAATAATAATAAATATTACTTTTAATATTTAGCCAATGTATTTAAATGTTGAAATGATAAAATATCACATTTAAAACTGAGCTGGGAAGCCATCTGGATAAAACCCTCATAAGTGGAAAGGTACTCATGTGCCTCTAGTTTCCATATAAAACTATCTTATGTGTGGGACTCCCCTGGTGGCCCAGTGGCTAAGACTCTGTGCTCCCAATGCAGTGAGCCCCAGTTCAATCCCTGGTCAGGGAACTAGATCCTGCATGCCACAACTAAGTGTCCACATGCCCCAGTGAAGATCGAAGATCCCGTGTACCAGTAATTAAGACCCAGTGCAGCCAAATAGATAAATAAATATTAAAAAAAAAAACCAGCTTTTGTGTGTGTTTGATGTAACCATTCTGAAGCAAAGCACTTTCAGGCAGCTTTAGTGTTTGTGAACAGCTTAGACTCAGACTCTGGAAAAACTAGGAAAGCCTTTGGGATATCTCTAGCATTTTGTCTATAATTTACTGTGCTTTCCACTTTCCAGACCTCAAGAAACACTCGTTCAGATGAAGAGAAAGATAGCAACTGGGACGCTTGGGGAGACTGGAGTGACTGCTCAAGGACTTGCGGAGGAGGAGCCTCATATTCTCTGCGGAGATGTTTGACTGGCAGGTAAGTGGCAGCTTTATCTACTCTCCTCCGTGGGATATCAGCGCCTTTGGATGGTGGCGTTGGGAAGACAACTTGGCTTCATGGCTTTAGGAAGTACTGTGCTGGGGGTATAACATCTGCAATGTCTAAGTATTTGGTGGCTTCCCTGGTGGCTCAGACGGTAAAGAATCTGCCTGCAATGCAGGAGACCTGGGTTTGATCCCTGGGTCAGGAAGATGCCCTGAAATAGGAAATGGCATCCCGCTCCAGTATTCCTCCCTGAAGAATTCCATGGACAGAGGAGCCTGGCGGGCTACCATCTGTGGGGTCCCAAAGAGTTGGAAGTGACTGACACTTTCACTTTCAGATAGGAAAAGAGTGGGGTTTATTTGTGTTTGTCTTTTACTTTTTAAAAGTGGTGTGTACCTCCCCAATCACCAACTAAATATAAAAGCCAAACCCTATATATTAGAGCATTTTATATTTCCTTGGCATCATCCCTCATGCCTTGCCCCCATAAAAAATATATCCTGTGATAAATGCCAAGGCAATAATTAGGGAAAATAGAGGGGATAAGACTACTTAATCTCAAAATTTTGATCAAGGTTCCATTTGAATCACTGGTATAAATGGTCTTTATTCAAATCAAGGATCGGTTAAATACCATAAATTCCACTTATCCACTGGCAAACGAGATAAAGGCAAAATTAAAAAATAAAAATGGTATGTACTTGTATTTGTTAAAAAAGAATTAGAGGAATATATTAAGAACCATGAATGGGCATTTTCATCTTGTTGTCATACAACCAAAATGCTTCCATGCTTATTACTTTATTTAAAAAGTGCTTTGATTTTGCCTAGAATACGATTTTTTCTGAGTGGTCTATCTCAGTGTGAATTTGTGTCTTTTCTCTCCTAACTGTGGTTGGCTGCTACTGGAAGGGCTTCAAGTTAGGAAGGGCAACTCTTCAGCCTTTTCTGCCTTCTCTGTACTTACTCAGAAAAAGAGATTTTGGCAAGAGGAGAGGAGGAGGAGTAGAGTGCTGCCATGACTCGTGTGTGTGTGTGCTCAGCTGCTTGGTCGTGTCTGACTCTTTGTGACCCCATGGACTGTCAACGGGATTTCCCAGGCAAGAATACTGGAATGGGTTGCCATTCCCTTCAGGGCTTCTTCCCAGCCCAATTATTAACCCTCATTTCTTGCATTGGCAGAAAGATTCTTTGCCACTGAGTCACATGGGAAGCCCCTGCCATTAATTTAGGGAGCAGGTATTGATGCCATCTGGTTAGGAGTATTTAAAGCTACCTTTTATCTATTGTGAGCACTTTGATGGATTTCTTTGAGATGTTATCTCCTCCTTCCCCACAACCCAATCCCTTGGGATCCTTTGTGTGTGGTTCACTTGAGACGTGGTATTCGCAATCCTCTAACTTGGTAATGCTGCTCTTTCCTATTCTAGGACACCTAGACATGTCCCAACCTCTCCCTATTTATGTATACTCACCCCCTCAGCAGCTGTCTTGGTATGTTTGTTCCTAAGACAACTCACAGTGACTGTCTTGCATGCAGCCTGCATCTGGTTCATTGGAAACCCTCCTGTGAATTTCGCTAAAGAAACTCCCCAGTTCTAGGAGCCAATACGGCAACACTTTCTCTGCTTACACAGTCCACTGCAGCTGAGCTCTCAGCCCTTATGTATCTCAAGTGTGAATTAGATACCAACCAACTGCAAGAGCCACCTACTGAACTCTTCAGCTGGCATTCCCCAAATTTCTTCCTCTTGACTGGGGGTTAGCAGATCGAAGCCCTTGTCTCTTCTCTTTCTGTACAGCAGACGGAGGCGTAGGCTCACAGCACAGATTTCTCAAAAAAACCTTCAGAAATCCTTATACTACCAAGTCTCCAGCTCCATGATGTTTTTTATACCTTGGTGTGGGCAAGGAGTTTAACAATTGTGAATTAAACTAACACAGAGGGACTTCCCTGGTGGTCTAGTGGTCGAGTCCACCTTGTAATGTGGGGGATGTGGGTTGGGGAACTGAGATCCCACATGCCATGGAGCCACTAAGTCTGCATGCCACAACTACTGGCTCTCTCTCCAGAAACCCAGTTCCACAACTACAGAGTCTGTGCATTGCAACAAAAGATCCCGCATGGTGCAATGAAGATCCTACAGGCTGCAACTAAGACCCAACACAGCCAAATGAATAAGTTAAAAAAATAAACTAGCCCAGAACTTGCCTTCATGGTTCTTATAGTCTAGAGGAACAAACAATGGACAAGTATGTAGTCAAATTATATGAAATTAACATTTTGTCAAGGGGGTAGATAGTGCCAACACAGGGAAGGCCTCTGTACTGAGAGTCTCTTTTTGAGACCCGACTGCTTAGAGGAAGTAAATTATATGAAGGTGGAGGGTAATGGGCCATAAAATCCAGATACTGGAGCCAGCATATGTAAAGTTGCTGAAGCAGGAAATGAAAAGAGGCCTTTATTCCCGAAAAACAGTAGATAAGGGAGAAAGCAGAAAGGGCCAATGTTGAAGAAGGAGGTAGATTAGTAGACTACGGAAAAGAATCTCAGATTTTTGGATTTCAAATACTAGGAAACTGTCCAAAAAGAAAAAGCATATTTGGAACTGATACAGGTTGTCAATATTTTATTTGGTCAAATAAAGGCAAAAATAAAAACAAATCAAAATTCAACTATGGTCCACCATCACAGGCTTTTCAAGAAAGAATTACAATCAGAATTTTTGCATTTAAGCATTAAAAAGTAGACATAATCTTAGATTAAAAGACTTGCCTTTAAATTGAATTCATATAGGTTTATAAAAATCTACTTTTTTGTCCTTATTTGTCTCACTTCACTTTGGACCATGCTTTGGATGTAATAAAACTATCACAGATATTAGCAGTCTAATGATGGGTAATTTGGAACCAGAAGTGAAAGTTGCTCAGTTGTGTCCAACTCTTTGCAATCCTATGTACTATACAGTCCATGAAACTCTCCAGGCCAGAATACTGGAGTGGGTACCCTTTCCCTTCTCTGGGGGAATCTTTCCAACCCAGGGATCAAACCAAGGTCTCTGGCATTACAGGCAGATTCTTAACCAGCTGAGCCACCAGCTGGGAGCTGGGAGCCCGGGAACCAGAAACTGAGAAGTAAAAAATAATCATGGACTTAGAACTTGAGACTGCAAGATCCCTGAAGGCAGTGATATGCAGAAAATGACTTTATCTGAGTCATATTTTTTATCTAGGCATTTACCAGTTTTTAAGCAGTAAAAGGAAGAGAAGTCAAGCAGAAAGCAGCTTCTAAGAGGCTGAGAAACTGACCAGATTTATTGGCAGTTTCATAGTCCTAGGACATAAAAATTGGAATTCAAAGCTATGGTAAACACCTCAGGTGATAGTTTGTATCCTTGAAGGGCTATACCCTAGGAGAAAGGGAAATCTAATCCTAAATAGACTAGATATTACAAGACTGAAACCCAGTCTTAATTAATTCAACCCTAACTTGAATAATGAAATTTGTTGCTGTTTCAACTGCCTCCAAGAAGCTTAAAAAAACACCCTAGAGGAAGATGACACCAACCAGAGAGTATACAAATTTTTATAGATTATGCCAATAATTCAATAAAGCATTACCAGTCTTATCATGGGACAAGAACAAGAGGAAAATCAGATGATTTAGAAATAGGTACTAGGACCTGTGTATCAAAAAACAAAACAAAACCCTTGTAATAAGTATTTACAAAAATAGATGGCAGGATATAGGATTTCACCAAAGAACTGGAATCCATAAAATGGAATTATATGGGAATTTGAGAATAGAAGCAAATGATAACTAAAATCATGAACTAAATAGATGGCCATAATAGCAGATTAGAAACAGCAGAAGAAAGTATAGATTTGTAGAAATATCCAGGCTAAAATACACAGGGAAAATGAATGAACATAGAATAAGGATGAAAAGGTATGGATATAAGATGAAAAGGTCTAAACCATGTATAATCGGAGTCCTAAAAGGAAAAGTGAGATAGACAATAGGGTATAAGCACTGTTTGAAGAGATGTGTGTGTGTGTGTGTGTGTGCGCGCGTGTGTGTGCGCGTGCACGCATGCGTGTGGGCACATGCTCATTCAGTCTTGTCTGACTCATTGTGACCCCATGACTCTGGACTGTAGGCTTCTCTGTGGGATTGTCCAGTCAAGAATACTGGAGTGAGTTGCCATTTCCTCCTCCAGGGGATCTTCCTGACCTTGGGATCGAACCTTTGTCTCCTGCAAGCTTCTCTTTTGTGTAAGTGAATAGTATATTTGTGCTCCATCCTTTAATTCAGTCTTATTTCTATGTATATTGAAATTTCTGGCTTGTGTATAGCCTCTATGAATTTTTAGCTATGATGTAGAGATGTTAACCTATTGATATGCTTTGTTGGTTATTTCACTAAGCAGTTATAAGCAGGAGAGAGTTCAATATATGTGCTTGGATGACCTTCTCTTCTTAATATCTTTCATTCTTTCTTTTATTTTGCTGAACTTTACCTCTGGTAATTTCAAAATTATATGTGTATATATATAATACATTGGATTGTAGCCCACCAGGCTCCTCTGTCCATAGGATTTTTCAGACAAGTATACTTGAGTGAGGTGCCATTTCATTCTCCAGGGGATCTTCCTGACCCAGAGATTGAACCCAAGTCTCCTGTGTCTCCTGCATTGCAGGCAGATTCTTTACTTGCTGAGCCATTCTGTTTTTATATTTCTGATGATTAAATTTAAGATGTTTGAAAATCATACTTTAATAATTATAACTATCAATGCCAATAATAAAATACTAGTCTCTTTTTATTTGTAAGTCAATGCATGTTCTATGCTCTCCTTCTTCATTTCCACTCAGTGGGATTTTGTTATTATAACTTGGGATCTTATACTCAATTTCTTGGCAGCATTTATCCCCTTTTTATCTTTTCTTTCATAATCATATTTCAAACCATCACTGAAAATTGAGTTTGT